GTAATATTTTTATATCCTGAGACAAGTCAACATACTACAACTCCGCCCGTGTTGTTCTTCAAAACCTTCGTCGAGCGGAGAGTAAATATCTGAAGGAGCGAAAGTTCTCTTGTTCTGCTTAATTCAGGCACCCTTCGTAAAATCCCAGCCAAAATTGTCAGAAAAGAAACTCGTCAAATACCGATCCTTTCCTACAGCCACGACCTCCATAACTTCACCTTATGGGACCACCCGCTTACGTTTTTTTGTGAAGGAACCTTGGTTGACCCCCCCCCCCAATACGACTTACGTTTGGATTGTTCGACTGGATGCGACCCTGGGTGGAACACAATGGAGAGACGGTTGAGGTGAGCTGGCAACAGCAGTTCAGTTGTTTTTCATCGACTTCACATAATTTAAGTTGGTGCGATCCGCGCTCTAGTGTGCGCCAAGCTAAAACGGTAGATATCATGATGCAAGAAAAGTGTTTCCTGATTACTTGAGTGAATCTATTTTATGAATCATCTGGAAAAAACTTTCTCGTTAAGCATTTACAGTAGTTAGGGTTCTGGTAAAAAAAGTCTTTGCAACTATATCGAAGAAGGGCGATTGGGTGTTTCTTGAAGAAGACTATCCCATAAGCGCAGATGTAATCGCTGAAACCTGGAGAGTTTTTTTTTCAGCTGCGAAGGGGTCACTCCTCTCCAGTTTCTGCGCCATGTGCGAAGGATATTGTAATCACGTGCAGTGTTGTTGTTCCGCACAACAAGATTCTAACGCAAGAGGAGACGCGGAGTACCAGACTGGTGGGTGCCCTTGAAATAACATTTTTCCAGGATCACGATTTACGATTAATGCCATTGAAGGTTTTACATAGAAAATTAGACTAGCATTAGATAAGTGGATAATTACTGAGCATTTTACTGAAAGGGTGGTTGAAAGTTCTGAGGAAGGTTGAGTTCTGGAAAGGCTTATGAGGTTCGGTCGTCTTAAGCTGGTTTTTCTGCTTGCAGGTAGCCAATATATTGTGGGGGGGGGGAGGAAAGATTAGGCTGGTGTCAGAGTCCGCGATCCGTCGCAGGTTTCGCTGATTTTCGCGATTTGCGCGAAACCTGCGACGGATCGCAAAAATTGCAAGTGTGTGAACATTTGAAACACTGAATATGAAACAAGTGGAATCATGAGCAGTCGTCATTCAGCCATCACTATCAAGCAGAAGTGGCGGCAGGATTGGAGAACACCTTGCATCGGGCACTTGTGATTTCCGTGACCCGTCGCGTGAATCGCGCAAATCGCGAAAATCGCGAAAATCAGCGAAACGCTGCGACGGATCGCGGACTCTGACCCCAGCCTTACAGAGTGGTGCCATAGTGTTTGTGGACAACAGACAATGTTCGTTGTAGCATTTTTTACTCTTCAATATTTCGAAATGCTGCATATGTTTAGCTATTACCAGAGCGGAAGCTTATGCTGAGAGGAGGTTCAACATTGATGAGTTTGCGACAGAAAATTGTGAGTCATTCTGTTTATTTGCGGATTTTATTTTATGTATTATTTTATTCATTATTTATAGTTTGTTATATGTGCATTCTGTGGGCTCATGGAGGATGTCAATGAGCTGGAGCCTATTGATCAAACATAGGTAAATCGCTAACGGAGTTGGGTAATTTTGTTGCTCTCATTCTTGCTGATGGAATTTCAGACTCACATGATTCTCTATCATTGTCTTCATATTTATCCATGGACACGTTTGTACGTGGATCGACTTCGATGCGGCACGAAGATATTTCAGTGTTGAGTTTCTTTTTTCGGTTGTTCGTCAAGATTTTAATTCAAGACCGCAAAATGAATAGAGGAAGTTTACTTTCACACTATTTTCATGGAGGCAACCGGCTCAGCGTGCATTTGGTATCAGTTTTTTAAGCGTTCATCGGTTGCTTCCATAAAAATAGTGTGAACGTAAACTTGCCTGCTATTCATTTTGCGATATAATTTTGTGTCTGTATCTGAATAGTGACCTCAGATGGGTACTGATTCAGACCTATGCGAGAGTTCATGGCGCGGAATAAGTGTTTCGATCCCGTTACGTCTAGGGATATAGCAGGTGTCAAAATAATCGATCTCAAGCTCAGGTATTTATCATCAAAAACAGTGTAACGTGGAGAGGATCTGCCATTTGATATGCTTAAGGTTGGGTCAGCCTTATGTTTTTCAACACTCCGGAACTTGTGAGCATTTGTTGATATTCCATGACCTCCGATTGCTTGAGAAATGTGATGTCCAGGTGAGCATTTGCATTCTTTGCTACGAATGTTTTCATGTTTCACTTTTTTCCTAGATTCTGTTGTCAATGGCCGCACCAGTTTAAACACTCGTCCGTTTTCTTGCCACTTAACGGCCGATATTTACACGTACTAGGCATTGAAATTAACAGACGTTCTAGTGGGGAGGGTGTAAACTTTCTTTTCCTGTCTCAAAGACATCTTCACTCACAATTCTATTTCTTCGGGGGTCAGTCGTTTTACGTGCTTTCTGCGGTGCGGCACGCATAGGGGAAGTTCACTCTTTTAGTTAATGGCCACTTGCATACCATGCAGTGCATTCGACGATGTACACCATCTCATTCTTGAACGTTGGACGCGAGATATGCTTGCGGGCGAAAGTGGGGAGAAAAAGGTGTCGGGGTCACGATTGCCTATCCGCGTTTTTAACGGCCGCATCATTGATGTGGATCGTGAAGTGTAATAATCTATGCCTCTACACCAGGAAGGTCTTTCAGGGCGTGACAAGCTTTTTGAAAACGGTCTTTTGCATGATATAGGGGCAGATGCGGGAACCACAGAACCATGTTCAATTTTTCCTGAACGGCCCTCTGAATACCAGAAAAGGAGGTCCCTAGTTCGATTCCTCGTGGTAACAAATTTTTGCATTTCGAGTTGACGTGCCAAAATTCGCGCAAAATGGAGTTAGCATGAATAATCAGTACCATACTTCATGATTAGGACCGTCAGTAACCCTTACAAATAGACTTTGATTAAAAAACTGGTGAAAAAGGTGTGACACCACAGTGGGGCTGCTTGATGTCACGCCTCTCACACCAATTTTTAAGTCAAAGTCTTTTTGTAGGAGTTACTGACGGCCCTAATCATGAATATGGTACTAATTATTCATGCTAACTCCATTTTGCGCGAATTTTGGAACGTCAACTCGAAATGCAAAAATTTGTCACCAAGAGGAATCGAACTAGGGACCCCCTTTTCTGGTATTCAGAGGGCCGTTCAGGAAAAATAAACATGGTTCTGTGGTCCCCGCATCTGCCCCTATATCATGCAAAAGACCGTTTTCAAAAAGCTCGTCACGCCCTGAAAGACCTTCTTGAGAAGGAAAAAAAACGGTGGGTTGATATAGAGGGTACCACATTAGCCATATATCACGGTGTTAATTCATAAAGGTTTCTGAGAAAATTTGGTGCTGCTGTTCCTAAAAATGCAGGATAATTTGACGTATTGAACTGATTTGTATAGGTCATTTATTGTAGGGTGGTCTGAAAATGAGTAGATTTCGATTTGTTTAGGATTTGGAAAGATATCCAATGGTAGTATTCGAAAAGAAGGGAGATGTTCGATGCTCAGCGTGCAGAAGCTATGCAGCGTAAGTTTCGAAGTTCTCGTATCACTTTTCAGTATGCTCTTTCTTACTATTTCTAGAACATGTACTATAGTTTTCTGAATGAGTCGTCGTTGGTAAAAAGTACAGATAAAATCCATGATCCCTACACTCTCATGTTTTTCTGTTGAAACAAAGAATGGGTATGATTGCTGGTTTTTTGCAGATTTGTTGTGGAGGAGTGTGAACGGCTACCGTCCCCCTATATGATGTTCTGGCCGAGGCGTGCTTCCGAGAATTCTTCTTTCATGCACGGTCACAAGATTGGGCGTTTCAAAGCTCATCCTTACATGCCGATCAACCGCTTTACGGTCCTCTAACATTGATATCTTCGCGCAATTATTGCACCTTTTAATAGTCTTTTTTCACCGGTTTGTCTTATGAGATTCTTTCTACGCTTTCCTTTACCTTCCCTTCAGTGTAAGCAGGGAAAGGTGGACGTTCAAACGGGTAATGGCTTTAGTGGCAAACTTTAACTCACATTTAAATGTATTTTGCCTTCAATTTTCGCGGTGAGAAATTTGGTCAGGTTGTTCTTTGATAACGTTTCTGGTACTTTCAACGTATGGATCTCGGAATTGTCTAAAAGAATGGGGACGATAAGTTTTTTCTAGTAATTTGCAAAACCGTCCCATTACCTGCAGGATATTATGGTATAATGTAGCACTGAGTTTCGTTGTTCGTATCTTGGATTGTTTACTCAATTTTAAGATTACACGGTTGTAGCAATGAACTTGTTTGCTAGTGTGAGTGGTGCCTATTGTTCTAGGAGTCTCAACAGGTTTTGTGTTTTCGCTGATTCGATAGCTAGCTTTCTTTTTGTCACTTGTTAGAATTTGATGAAATTTGTTTTTTGGGAAGCGTTCTTTAACACATAAGATACTTGATAGATCAGATGAAGTGAAGAAACAACTATGGTTATGAAACCTATGTATTTCGTTTTTTTCATCGAAGGAGTTCAGAATTTGCTTTAATCAGTGCACAGTCTGGTTTTCTGATGAGGAGATCCGATACTTGATCTGGTGCTTCACACTCTCCTGTTGATTTTCCAAAACATTCAGATTTTGCGATTTCACCATCTATGAAGTTTTCGTGAACTCCACATATTGTGTGACGCTTTAAGCAGGTAAATATCAATTGAATAATTCAATTTTCCGAAAAAAAAGTTAAAAGACCAATGGGTAAGGGTGTAGGTCGCTTGAACAGAAAACGATTATTTCGCTTTTTGCAGTGCGGTTTCTTCGCTGTGGGAACCTCTCGTCTAATCATAATCAGGGGCGTACTGGGGCTCCAGCGGTGAGCTGTGAAAAGCGAAAAACTCGCTTTCTATCCTAGTGGCCCACACCCGTTGGATGGGAGGTAATTTCTAAGAAATTAATGGTACTTCAAAGATTTTACGTTCAAGAATGGTAATGGTAATTTTATACAAATAGTGCCATGTATGGTGTCAATGCTCTGTGCGACATTGCAAGAGAGCATACTGATCGGGAAGATTTATCGCCAAATATCGACTAAATGTGGTAGAGGTAGGATGCAGAGCTAAGCTGGGCTTATAAGCCTCGTTTTCTGCATCTGGATGAGTGCCCATGTTTCCTTACGGAGGTGACGGGCGATTTACTTCTAGATTCGTTTGCATCTCCGGTATATCAGTCATGAGCAGACAGTAATAGGTGACAGACTTTACTGAACGAATAATGCTCCTCTTTTCTTCACGGAAACTTATGGGGTTTTGGTCTTGATTTTTGAAAACAAAAGCTCTCATGTTTTCCAAATCGCGTTGGTGTGTCGAGTTGCAATTCTGCCGTATCGCGAAGCGAGGAATTCAAATAGCCTTCAGTGTGTAATGAATTGCACTGTTGAAAAGTAGGAAAATGGTTGATGTTGAAGTATGAGAAGTCGACGACAAAAAGTGATGAAACTCAAG